GACAAACGCCTGTCTACATTACCCTATTTAGAACTCACCTTAAAAGATGGTGACACCTTAAAATTTCTCGTAGATACAGGTGCCCACAAAAATTTTGCTTGCGAAAAAATCGCAAACAATTCCAAAAAACTAAAATATCCTTTTAAGGTTCAATCAGCTGCTGGTCAGATAGAAATCACTCATAAACTATCAGGACCATTCTTTAAAAGCATTCGTATAAAAAATAATTTTGATTTCCTTATACTTCCAAATTTAAAATCCTTTGATGGTATCATAGGCGATGATACTCTCAAACAATTAGGAGCAATTATAAATAGGAAGGACGATACGCTAACTATCGGAGATGTGGTATTGCCATTGAAACAGAAAATTTCGAAACAAGTTAATAATCTTGAAGAAACCTTTTATGAAAATGAACTTAACGAAATTTTTAATAAATACGAGGACATTTTCGGACCAGTCTCTGACAGTGGAACAATAGACACAACCGTGTTAGCAGAAATAAGAACAACGAAAGAGGAACCGATTTACACAAAGTCATACCCTTATCCAACCAATCTTCGCGGTGAAGTTGAAATACAGATAACGGAACTTTTAAATAACGGTATTATTAGGCCATCAAAAAGCCCATATAACTCTCCTTTATGGATTGTCCCAAAAAAGCCAGGTCCTTCTGGGGAAAAGAAATACAGAGTTGTCGTTGACTTTAAGAGATTAAACTCAGTAACGATACCTGACTCTTATCCAATACCCGATATAAATAGCACTTTAGCTAGCCTAGGGGAGTGTAAGTATTTCACTACACTCGACCTCACATCCGGTTTTCATCAAATCAGGATGAAAGAAAAGGATGTAGAAAAAACAGCATTTTCCACCGCAAATGGTAAATATGAATTTACTAGGTTGCCATTTGGGCTGAAAAATGTCCCTTCTATCAAAGGATGATAAATGACGTCCTTAACCCTCTCATAGGAAAATCCTGCTACGTCTACATAGACGATAATATAATAGTAGGTAGAACTAAAAAAGAACATCTTAAACATATTGAAGATGTGTTTGCTCTTCTACATAAAGCGAATTTAAAAATAAATATGGAAAAATCTAAGTTTTCCAGAACCCGAGTAGAATTCCTAGGGCATATTGTAACGGGGAATGGTATTTTACCTGACCTGAAAAAATTTCAGCAATAAAAAATATACCTGCACCCGTAAATCTTAAAGAACTAAAAAGCTTTTTAGGCTTAGCGTCATATTATAGACGATTTATAAAAGACTTCGCAAAAATTGCCAAACCACTTACAAATTTGACAAGGGGTGAAAATGCGCAAAAAAAAGCGAGTCAATCTAAAAAAGTAAACATTTCATTAACAGATGAAGGATTGAAATCATTTAACGACCTAAAAATGTTGCTTGTGTCTTCTGAAATTTTGGCATTTCCTGATTTCAATAAATCTTTTATTTTAACTACGGACGCTTCTAATACCGCAATTGGAGCAGTCCTTTCTCAAGGGGAAATCGGTAAGGATAAACCCATAACTTATATATCTAGATCGCTCAATAAAACTGAGGAAAATTACTCGACAATAGAAAAAGAAATGCTCGCTATAGTATGGTCTCTTGACAAGCTAAGGACTTACTTGTATGGAGCAAAAGAAGTAAAAATTCTTACTGATCACCAGCCACTAACGTTTGCATTGAGCAACAGTAATAACAATGCCAAACTCAAAAGGTGGAAAGGTCGAATAGAAGAGTACAACTATAAACTAATTTATAAACCAGGAAAAACCAACGTAGTCGCTGATGCGTTATCACGGTTACCAATAGAGGTTAATACAATGACATCTTCCGATGAAATATCACAGCATAGTGCAGAAGAAGATAATTCACAACTCATACCTCATTGCGAGGCACCTCTTAATGTATTTAAGAACCAAATTATATTTCAGGAGGGAAAAGATGAAATTATTCACGAGGAACCTCACCCAAGGTACCATATGCATCAAATTAAAAGCGAAGTCTATGATAAAACTAAATTAGTTAAACACCTTAAAGATTTTCTTAATCCAAATATTCTCAATGGAATCAAAATTCCTGAAAAGTATATTTCTTTATTACAACAAGTTTATCAGGAAAAATTTTCAAAATTTCGTATTAGAATCACACAAAAACTTGTTACCGATATTCCTGACGAAGAAGTTAAATTCAAAATAATAGAACAAGAGCACAGAAGAGCTCACCGAAATGAAAGAGAAAATAAAGAGCAAATATTGGAGAAATACTATTTTCCACAAATGAGTAAACTTATCAAGAAATATACAAAAGCATGCAAAACTTGTGGATGCAACAAATACGACCGCCATCCTCAAAAGCCTGAAATACAGGCAACGTCCATACCTTCATATCCAACGGAAATACTGCACATTGACATTATTGAAATGTCTGGCGAAAAATATATTACATGTGTTGATAAATTCTCTAAATTTGTAAAATTTTTTAAAATAAAAAATAAGTCTGTATTACATATAAGGGATAAATTAAATTAACTACTTCATTATTTTACTGTCCCGAGGATCCTAGTGATGGACAACGAAGGCAGTTTTATAAGCCCAATAACACTTAATTACCTAGAAAGTTTGGGCATTGAAATTTATTTAGCACCACCTCAAAAGAGTGAAGTTAATGGCGCAATTGAACGTGTGCACTCTACAATTATAGAAATAGTTAGATACCTACAATCAGAGTATCCTGATTGTTCACTTAAGGAAATTATTAATATTGCTGTTGATAGATATAATAATTCAATACACTCTGTTACGAAGAAAAAACCCGCTGATATATTTTTCGGCAGAACCCAAAGAATAAATTATCAAAATCTAACTAATTTTAGAGACATAGTGAATGTCGACATTAGTAGTGAAATAGCTAGGAAACAAAAAAATATGTTAAGAAATCATAATAAAAAACGATTGAAACCAAAAAGTTATGAACCAGGGGAAATTGTTCTAAAAAAGGATAAACAAATAAAAGGAAAGACAAAGCCTATTTTCAAAGAAGAAACTGTAGCAAAGAATAACAAGGTTACTATAACAACAGCTAATAATAGGAAAATCCACAAGTCCCACTTAAAAAATTAACGGACATTTACATTCCAGACTTTTACCATACTCGACTATCGCTACGATTGACACATACGAATATAACAGCCCACTTGTAACGATTAAACAAGGACTAGGGAAAATCATTGAAGGAACATACAAAATTATTCATACTATCAACTTGGACGAATATGAAAAAATTGTAAACGATATACGACTTACTATAAACCATGACATCAGTAAAACGAGCATGTTATTTCCTCAACTAAAGCATCAACTTTCAGAAATAGACAACTTACTCGACCAGCTACGAACAAAGAACGCAACCATACAAAAAAGATCAATAAACTGGGTAGGATCCGCATGGAAATGGTTGGCAGGGAACCCCGACGCAACCGACTGGGATCAAATCCTCTCAAAAACAGACGAACTGACTGAAAACGGCGACAGACAATATACTGTTAACCAATATCTCATTAAGGGCCGTTTGCACCATCTGCAGTTAGGCACTTAACCTAGAGTTAGCTAAATTTTCGTTTTCTCCATGTGTAGTTAGCGTCCATCTGTCAGATAAGTTTGAGTTAAGTTTACTGGAGCTTCGGCTGCCAGTTAACTGCTAACTAGAACCAAAACTGACAGTTGACAGCGATAAATAAATAAATTTTTGTTCTGATATTCATACACAATTTTGTGATTTTATAAGTTTTTAATGGAAAATTTAGCGCAGAATTATTTATTATCCCAATTAAGTCGGAGTCGTGTTCCGAAGCGAAGAACGCATGGGAAAAGAATTGATTTCTTTAGAAAATATGATGAAAACATATTCAACAGAAGATTTCGTCTATCCAAGGAAAGTTTTTTATACGTTTTGACAAAAATAGAGGCAAAAATCAGAAGTAGTTCGGAAAGGTTTGTAAAAATGTGGTGGGAGCTTTAAATTCTATTATTGATTCAATTGATTCCACAGGAACTGCCCGCTTAGTCCTACCGAAATGTTATTATTGGCATTACGCTTCTATGCATCTGGGAGCTTTTTAATTTCTATTGCTGATTTTTGCGGAGTCAGCGTAGCCACTGCAAGTCGTGTAGTTAATAAAGTGTCCAATGCCATCGCAAGTATTTCCAAGGACTTTATTAAGATGCCAAATACAAGCACGGAAATCGAAAATGCAAATACCAGCTTTCACCAAATAGCAAAATTCCCAAAGGTTATTGGATGTATCGACTGCACACATGTGCGGATCCAGTCACCTGGTGGAGAAAACGCTGAAATATTTAGAAACAGGAAAGGGTACTTTTCATTCAACGTACAAGCTGTGTGTAACGCAAACTTAATAATAACAGACCTCGTATGCCGGTGGCCTGGTTCTGCACATGACAGCAATATATTCAACAACAGTCGATTGAAGCATCGTTTTGAGCAAAATGAATTCAAAGAATGTTTTTTACTGGGCGACAGTGGATACAGTGTCAACAAATATATGATGACCCCGCTTTTACATCCCAGTGCTCGTGCAGAAACTTTGTACAACGAGTCGCAGATTCGTACTCGAAATTGCATTGAGAGATGTTTTGGTGTTTGGAAGCGCCGTTTTCCGGTGCTCTCGCTTGGATTAAGGCTTTCCCAAGGCACAATAATGAACATCATTGTCGCCTGCGGAGTACTTCACAACATTGCCCGTCAGAACAAGGACACATACCAATTTGAAGAGGAAAGTCTCAACGTTCCTGAGACTACCGCCCCTTTCATTGATGCGGAGGAAATAGCCAATGAAAGGCAAGAAAATAATGTTGTGAGATCAAATCTTATCAGAGATTATTTTTCAAGGTTTGTCAACAATTTAGCTTATATAGCCAAGAATGAAATATATTTCTGCTTTCTTCCAGGATATAATGGACATGCTATAATTGTTGCTCTCGAAGCAGATGATAAACTATTCATTATTTAACTAGAACTAAATATAGCATAAACATATATTTACATACAAAAACACATTAACTTACCTTTCTCACCTTCACTCGCCTATTTTATATATACATACATATGTATGTTCATACTTACTTTCTCCTAATCCCTATAATTGTATACCTACAATTTTTGTCGTTATACTTACACTATTTACTTACTTATTTACATATCGATGGCTCAGTGGAAGATCGGCATATCTCGGCAGCCAGTTCAAAAACGCCCTATCTCAGAAAACTTTTCA